TCAGAGACAAAGGCAGAAAGGCTGGTTGAAAAGAAGAAAGGAAGGGAGCCTCGCGGACAAGCTCACACCAGGGATGATCTTGTCTTCTGGCCCTCACCATCCCATTCCCCAAGCCAACAATTCACTGGTCTTCCTCCCCCTAGGGGCCTCTCTCAGAGGTTGAGCTTCCCCAGATCCTTCAACAGCTGCCTTTCATTTTCAGAGGTTCTCAAACTTATTTGGCTGACTGCCCCTTTTTCAGAAAAAAATATAATCACTCAATGCCGCCTAGAAATCTACAGTTACCAGACAAGAAAGTCCCACCTCCACGCCTGTTGCACCCTGTATCTGTGGTGGCTATTGTGGCTATGAACTTCTTAGATTTAGGCTAAGATTTAAGTTCCATCTGGCTCCACAGTTCCCGAAGATGGGGGTTTTCTCCCCTGGTAACTCCCCTGGTTTCTCCACTTTGGGAAATACCAAGAAAGGAAACCGTCCTCTTTCCCCTGTCTCCCGTGTCCCCTGCAGAACTCACAGCCTCCTCCACTCAGCTCTGCAGAAATAATCTCATATCTGTTCTTAACAGAATAAGAACAGGTTGATCAAATGCTTTTTTCAAGTTAAAACTCCGTGTTCTACGCAGGCTGCATAAACTTGCCTTTTTTGCTTCTGCAGAGCTTGAGAAACATAAGAACTCCATAGAGGCTTTGAAAGCAACAAAACACTGTCACTGTCACTGTCACTGTCCTACCGTTGTTCATCGATTTGTTCGAGCGGACCCAGTAACGTCTCCATTGTGACACTTGTTACTGTGTTTGGCATATCAAATACGTCACGGGTGGCTTGCCAGGACTGGTCATCGGTCGAGGGTATATGAGTACCTGCTCTCCTCTGCTAGAACTTCCAAACAAGCAACAAAACACAGGCTGACAAAATAGTAAAGGTGGAATGAAACAGGGAACTGAGAAAGTTAGTGATAAGCCGGGACTTTTACACCCAAGTTATTTGAAATAACACTAATTTAAAATAAATGGGGACATGCTAGGGGTAAAGGCAGCTCAGATAGAGAAGGGAGCACCAAATAAAAGGTGTTGGGAAGATCCGCCCAGGATGGGAGATGCATGCTGAAAGTAGACTATGGACCGAACATGATTGCCACTCAATGCCTCTTTTGCAAACCAAGCACCCAAAAGGAGAGAGAGAACAAAAGGGAATGCCCTACCACAGAGGCAGGGTGGGATGAGGGGTGGGAGGGATACTGGGATTAGTGGTGGTAGAGAATGGGCACTGGTGGAGGGATCATTGTATAACTGAAACCCAAGCACAAAAATTTATAAGTCTACAACTGTACTTCCTGGTGTTTCACTAATAAAAATTTTTTAAAAATCATAAAACAGGGGGCTAGAGCAATAGCACAGTGGGTAGGGCGTTTGCCTTACACGCAGCTGACCTAGGTTCAATTCCCAGCACCCCATATGGTCCCCCGAGCACTGCCAGGAGTAATTCTTGAGTGCATGAACCAGGATTAACTCCTGTGCATCGCCGGGTGTGACCCCCCCCAAAAAATCATAAAACAAATCAGAACACTCCAGAAGACTTTTCACAATTGTTACTCCAGTATTGAAAATTATACAAAAATAAAACAATTGTGTGGAAAAAATAAAATAAAATAAGTGGGGAGGTAGCTGTCACGCCCCCACAAACTTCTGCTGGGTGCCATCTTGGTGCATCAACAGCCCTGGTCCATAGACTCCCAATTGAATTCCAAAATGGATTAGTGCCCTACAGCGATGTCTCTGGAATCCAACCATCTACAATCTAGGATTCCAGAACTCTCCTAATATTCAAAATGAGCAATGGAAAGTAAATTACCTAGCATCTGCCCCTGACAGGCAGGCTTGAATGGTGGTAAGAAAATTTGTGTAAAACATAATACTCAAAAGTAGAGAGAGAGTATTGGGGAAATTGTCTGCCATAGAGGCAGGATGAGGACTGGGACAGGGAGGAGGGCATGGGGGGGGGGGGGGAAGGATACTGGGGACATTGGTGGTGGAGAATGTGCTCTGGTAGAGGGATGGTGTTCGATCATTCTATGGCTGAATCTCAAACATGAAAGCTTTGTAACTCTATCTCATGGTGATTCAGTAAAATTTAAAACAGAGAAAAAAGAAAAACAGAAAATAAATAAAAGAAGTGAGGAATAGTACACAGCTTTAGACATTTGCTTTGCACAGAGTGAAATCCGATTTGATCCCTGGCATCATATCTAGTTCCCTGAGCACTGCCAAGAGTGATCCCTGAGCACAGAGTCAGGAGTAAGCCCTGAGCACTGCCAGGTGTGATCTGAAAACTAAAAAAAACAATTAAATAAGGAGGATTTTCCTCCCCCACTTCCACCCCACTTATTAGGCTTAAAGAAACGGTCCTGTGGTCTCATGAGAGACTCTAATAAAATGCATGTGAGTTTTTTTTAATTTTTATTAGTGAAACACCATGAGGTACAGTTGTAGACTTACAAATTTTTGTGCTTGGGTTTCAATTATACAATGACAAAATACCCATCCTTCACCAGTGCCCATTTTTCACCACCATGGATCCTAGTATCCCTCCCACCCCAACCCCCCTATCTCACCCATCCTGCTTCTGTGGCAGGGCATTCCCCCTTGTTCTCTCTCTCTCCTTTTGGGTCCTGTGGTTTGCAAAAGAGGCATTGAGTGGCAATCATGTTCGGTCCATAGTCTACTTTCAACATGCATCTCCCATCCTGGGAGGATCCTCCCAACACCCTTTATTTGGTGCTCCCTTCTCTATCTGAGCTCTCTTTTCCCCTAGCATGTGTGGTTGGCCTCCAAGCCATGGAGCAAAATTCCTGGTACTAATCTCGGCCACTCTTGGATCTTAGTCTCCTATTTTGTTACTTTATGTTCCCCAGATGAATGCGATCTTTCTATGTCTATCCCTCTCTTTCTGACTCATTTCGCTTAACATGATACTTTCCATGTAGTCCCACTTGTACGTAAAATGCATGTGAGATTAGGGGCATCTTGACTCCAGCGTCTGTAGGGATGTACAGGGGGATTGGGATGCTGTCACCTCGATGCCTGCTCAGGGGAGGTTGGGGGGATAGGGCTAAGCATGGTGTCATGGGAAGGAAACATGGAGCCCTGAGAGCCAGTCCTGGGCTGCAAACCCTGTGACTGCACTTTGGGAAAAATAAGAAGTTGGATGCTCTGTCTCCTCCCCAGTTTGGGCTGGGGGTTCTGCTTCCTTCATGTCTCCGTATTTGGGAATCACGGAGCCAGATGGGACCTAACCCTGAGCAGTTCATTCCTCCTCTCCATCAACGTAAATGTCCCCACTTTGCTATTTTGAGAGCAAGGGCTGCAACCCCCCTCCCCACATTAGGATTTGCAATATGTTCTGAAATCCTGAAACATGGAAGATTGCAGTGAGTTTCTCAGGAGAAGGTGACCTCCAAGGTGACCTCCAAGGTCTGGGAACCCTGAGATGTGATGACAGGCCCCACATGTTGGACATCCGTCATGACCACAGAGCCAAGCTCCAAGCTACCACAGCTGCCAGCACTGGTCTAGGTCAGACCCGGAAGCAGTTGGGGGAAATGTGCTCTCCACGGCTTCCATGCACTGTCCCTAAAATTCTGTCGCGGTCTTAGGGGTGGAATATAAAAAGGAAATGAATTTAAAAATTCAAGGTGGAATTGGAACAGGACTGGGGAAGGCCCATTTGGGAAACAGTCAGCCTGACTTTCAAGGGACCATAAATTAGCAAAAGAAAGAGAAGAATGAATGGTGTGTGTGTGTGTGTGTGTGTGGTGTATAAGCAACAGCCACATTTCTTTCAAATCAGGAACAGATCTGAGCCACAATTGGCGAGCCTGAGAGGGCTACTTACATTACCTAATTGGATGAGGGTCATTTGATCATCGTCACAGACACTGCTTTAACACCACTTAATTCCTCCAACCAAAACAAATCAATCCACAGGAACTTTCAGTGGGCTTCACCTCCAAGAGTATTGTTGCCATTAACACATTCCTATAGTGCTTTTCTTTGTGCTTCATTTTGTTTTACTTTATTATCGTTTGATATTATTATTATTATAATATTTTCATATTATTATTTTACTTTTTTTATAGCTTGCCCGGAAAGCCCGGCAAGCTACCAAGGGTATCCAGGCCACACGGCAGAGCCTGGCAAGCCACCCATGAGGTACCAAATATGCCAACAACAGTCTCATTTCCCTAACCCTGAAGAAGTCTCCAGCTGAGTTGGGAAGAACAAGAGGGCTTGTACTAAGCAGATGGCGCGCAAGTCAATGGGTGGGAAGGCGCAAGAACATGCCAGCCACGGGTGGCATTGATGTCGGTGGGCCCCACGGGTAACTTATGTGACGCAGGGAGGAGAAAGACGGTCACTTTCTCCCCAACTGCCTCTGCCACCTGGGACCCAGGGTTACTGGGTTCTTGTCTCACCTCACAGAAAGAAATCTCAGGAGTAGACAAGCAGTGAAATAAATAGATTTTATTTGGAGGATTTTTTAGGTATGGAGGGAGAGAGAGAAATGTACTCAAGAGAGAACACAGGCTTCTCCAAGGGCAGAGAGCACCCCTACACACATCCTAGCATTAGACACGAAAGCATGAAAGTACACATCTCAAGAGGAGAGATGCAGGCGACACATGTGCTCGGGCACCACATGTGCTCAGCCATGGGCGCAAGCAGCACATGGGCTCGGGCAGCATATGGGCGCCCTTCCTTTGTTCAAGGTGGCCTTTATAGGGTTTCTCCAGCCTGCCCCCACGTGAAGCTTCTTCCCAGGTAAAAATCCGTTGCTAAGGAGGTTACCAGGGAGGTTGGGAGTAAAGGGGAGGTCCAAGAAGAGGAACTTCATGGAGAAGAAGCCTATATCCTCAGGGTCTGCAGATGGTCTTATCAGGTCTTTGTTTTCTGTATCCACAAGGTGGATCAGTCCTAGAATTCTTCTTCCACTAAACTTTGATAATGGAGTTTCGTTGCCAAGGGCCTTTCCCTATCTACCTGCCTACATCAGCTGAAGGAGCTGCACCGCTACCAGCTCACACAGTGGCACTACTCGAGATCCACCGCTACCAGAAGTCCACCAAGCTGCTCATCCACCAGCTGCCATTTCAGCGGCTGGTACGCGAGATTGCGCAGGACTTCAAGACCAACCTGTGCTCCCAGAGCTCAGTCGTCATGGTTCTGCAGGAGGCGTGCGAGGCCTACCTGGTGGGACTCTTTGAGGACACCAACCTCTGCGCACTCCCCATCAGGTGCATCACCATTATGCCCAAGGACATCCAGCTGACATAACGCCTCCGCAGAGAGAAAGCATAAGGTTTACAGTGCTAAAATCTCAGGGCTGGGACAAACAGAGACGCTACTGGAGCTCACTTGGGCAAATCGATGATTAATGGGATGACAGTGAAAGTGACAGTATTATAGCTTAGGAAGTTACAATAGATGGCATTTATGGTGTATATAAACAACATTACTATACGCCATGACCTTTAAAGTGCCCTTGAATCTCCACCACTGACCCTGCATGTCTGGATCTGATGTGCTCGTTAACTGTCCTAATGTCTCTGTCAGCTTAAATGGTGGCTCACTTTATGGGGACCAGGATGGGGACAATATTGTGTTGAATAAACGGACTGCCAGTGAGGACACTCGGGGCCTTCCAGGGGACCCTAAAGTTTCAACAGTGCTTGTATGTTTGTCTCATTTTCTGTGACAGATCCCCTCTGGATGGGGGTCCAAGGTGCCAATCTGATTGGTTTCTTTTTTTATTAAGAAACAATAACATACAAAGTGTTCACAGGAGAGTTGTTTCAGGCATTGCAGTGTTCCAATATTAATTTCATAATGAATGTCCTCTTCCTTCTGCCAGTATCCCAGGATTTCCTCCCACCCACCCCCCAACCTGCACTCCCAGACTCAAAACAAATTTGTTTCATAAAACTAAAAGGAATGGAAGATGGAATTATCTGACAATAAATCAATAAAAGTCTATTTGTAATAACTGGTTGCCAAATCATTTTAGCCTATGCAAATTAAGAAATCCAAATCTTTAATATAATATTTTATAGCCTATTCTCCTAATTTACATAAATAAGGTTTCTGGCATAAAAAATATCACATTAAATGATTGTTGCCACATAGAGATGAACACAGAATTAAGTCAGGGCACTACAGAGTGTCTACAAGGTGGCACATTGAGATCCGTAGCCTCATGGAATCCAGCTCATGAATCCAGAATCGTGTTCTTCTGTGGCTAGCGATGACCCTGTTAAGTCAGTCTAGGGGCAAGGAAGGACTCCAGGTAATGTAGTTAACAGTGTTGATCATTTGATGTCCAAAATGAGGTATAGTCAATAATATAGATGATAGAAATGACTGAGGCCATAAAGAGCCCTTAAAAAGGAACATAAATCAGGTCCTATAACTCTTACCTCTCACCTGTACCTGAACAGACAAAAAAAAAAAAAGTTCTCACCTATGACACCATGGCCAGAGAACAAAAGAGCCTGAGCGAGAAGAGCAGCAGAGTAAGGAGGGTTAGACCACAGAGCATCAGCAACAGACCAGCAGGCCACCGAGGGCACTAGACAGCTGGGAACACTTGGACCTGTGGACAATGAAGGACAAGACAACATGGAACCTGTGTCAGGTCTAGACATTGGACATTGGGAAAGCTGACACTATCTTCTGCTGCTAAATAAAACTAGAACATGACAGACATGGCATTTGAGAAAGCCCATGAAGCCCCTCAGGAGAGAACCTGGCTCTGTGTCATGACCCTTGTCATACCTCACTGTATGTATGCGGTTCCTTCTCATGAGACCAAGAGCTTGGTGGAGGCAAGAACTAACGTTGTTTTGTTCTTCTGTGGCTGCTCAAAACTTACCTTGTGAGTCAATGATGACTCTGCTGCTGTGTTATCCTATAGCCAACCTAGTCATGGCACCATTTCCCTGCCAGTGGCATGAGTGGGCGAAGGAAGGTCCCTGACTACAAACCTGACAGTGCAGATGAGGAGGGCAAAGAGAGCAAGCCAAGGACTGGGACAGACCACAAATTGTCTCTGGGCAAGCGTTTTCTCTCCAAGTACTTATCAAATACCATACATTTGCAAACAACATACCAAAACCCAAACATTTCTATTTTGCTTTTGTATGAGATTCTAATCCTAACTTTGATTTCAGTCTTAGAAACTGAATTTAGAAGAGATAAGAAAGGAATCTTTTGTCTTCATTCATTCCTTACTGGAAATATCCATGAGTGTTGACCCTTTGCCCTTGAATCCTCCTATTCTGATTGGCAAAGTTTGGCACCCTACTGATAGGGCACCTGCCTCTTGGGCACAGTGTTGCCCATGTATCCATTTTTCACCAACTATATGCAGAACAAAATGAACAAAAAGATAGGTCACGCTATCAGTTTGTTTTAACATTAATCCTGTAACCAGCAGAAAGTTTTTGACACCCAACTCTCTGTGGTTGCCCATTATCTTTGGATAGCGACATTTAAATGGAAAGCTTTCATCATAAATCAACAGCTAAAGCAAGAACTGTCAGCTTACTATTGTGAAACTTGGATCACCAATCAAGTTTATCTCCTGAAAATTGCTTTTGTAAAATATCATGCTGGTGCAGAGATGCCTCTGGATGCTACATCAGGCTGAGTTTTACCCAGGGCACCCTAAAGGGGATGATGGGTGACCCCCCCCCCCACCATCCACCCAAACAGAGCCCCGGCAGCCAAAAAACCTCCACACTCCAATCGCTGCCATGCTCATAAACAGACTACACAGGCTCAGGACGAGCTTCATTCCAGAATGAATCTGTTGGAAAACTCAGGTTTGAGGGTTTTGTCACTGAAATCTCCTGCTCTAACGCAGTCTGTGATGGGCAACCTCTGTTCTATCTTCCTGTTCCTCTGGGAGCCTGGCAGTCACGCCCAGGAACTGCCTCTGGAGCCATATGAGCTCATTGACTAGCAAAGATCCAGAGATTCATTAATCTCGGATGAGATCAACAAGCTGCAGAGATGCTTCTGGACCCCAAAGTCACTCTCCAGTTAAAAATTTAATTCCAGCTCTATCACCCCATTCCAAATCTTAGAATTCCTGGAGCTCATGGCTACGTTCACAACCACATGACATTTCATACTCTACACCACGAATATTCTAGGAGTAGCACACCATATTGGGTGGGATATAAAGTAGAAAGAAACCAATCTTGATTAAGAAAATATTATTAGCAAACAAGACCTCACCTGTAACAAGATGTTAGAAATCTCTTATACAAGGACTTAATGGCTGCAGGGTGCTACACAACAATCTTCATACACTTTCTTCTAAGGAAAATTTTTGGTCATTTTAGCAAATTATTCATAACAATCAATACAAAATGAATTATTTAGGGGATGCTGTTGGGGCAGGTTTGGGTGGTGGTTGGGTAAATTGAAAATAATGGTGATGACGGGGCTGCAGCGATAGCACAGCAGGTAGGGCGTTTGCCTTGCACACGGCCAACCAGGGTTCGATTCCCAGCATCCCATATGGTCCCCCGAGCACCTCCAGGAGTAATTCCTGAGTGAAGAGCCAGGAGTAACCCCTGTGCATCGCCGGGTGTGACCAAAGAAGAAAAAAAAGAAAGAAAAGAATAGTGATGGAAAGGTATAAAGTTGTGGGATTGGTGTTGGAATATTGAATGTAATAAATCATCATGAACAACTGTAGCACTGTAGCACTGTCCTCCCGTTGTTCATCAATTTGCTCGATCAGGCACCAGCAACGTCTCACAACAAATTGTGAGAATTTTTGTGACTATTTTTGGCATATTGAATACGCCACAGGGAGCTTGCCAGGCTTTGCCATGCAGGCAAGATACTCTCGGTAGCTTGCCAGGCGCTCCAAGAGGGGCGGAGGAATCGAACTCGGGTCGACTGCATGCAAGGCAAATGCCTCACTCACTGTGCTATCATTCCAGCCCAGGAACAATACTAATATATATAATCAGAATTTAAATTTATAAAAATAAAATTTTAAAAATAATTTTTAAAATATCATACTGATAAAAAGTATAATTTGTAATTATAATTTCTACATATAGTGGGTTCACATTATATGAATGCCTATGAAAGTTACAAGTAATTTATAATTAAAATTCCTATTTATAGCATTCAGATAATAATAAAACATTAAAAACATAAAATTTTTATTTGCAATTTTTACCCTCCAAAAAGCCATATTTACATAGCCAGAAAAACACACACACCAAAAAAAAAAAAAACTGAGTAGCCATAATCTTTGCTGACAGAAACTTCCAATGCAAAAGGTTAATTATTTTTCTAAAGTTTGAATGAAGTTCTTAACTTGTTTGCTTGCTTCTCTTTGTCAAAATTCTGAGCATTTTACGTAAAGGGATAAGAAACCCTGTAGTTGATAGACTTCTACAACTTTGAACTTTAATATAACTTCATGAAAAACAAAACGCTACATCACTGTCAGGCAAACAGACATACAAGGTAAGGAAGCAGAATAGAAGACCCCAAAATTGGGCCCAAATACATAGAAACTCTCAAATCAATGAGGAAAAGATAGCTATGTAAATGCAGGGTGCTAAGACAATGAATCACCATCTGGAAAAAGTTAGGTTCCAGGGAATCATAAATTTAAATAGAAAACCAAAGCCATAAAATTACTAGAAGAAAACACAAGCAAATTCCTCCACAACTCTGGACAGAGGAATGCCTTTCAAACCAGCCCTCAAAATCCAGAGCCATGAAAAAAAAAAAAAACAGGACAAGTTTATTACAGGAAAAATAAAGCATTTCTACTAGAATTTTTAAGTAAAACCCAAAAATAAGTGACAAACTGACCAAGACAATCATTCATGACATGTCATAAACAAAAGCCTCATTTCCTAGTATGTAAACAATTCCCAGAGATTGAAGAGAGACCAACACCCAGAAACCTTCCCAGAGCCCTTGCCAGCACTCTGAATCCACGAAATTTCTTTCTTTTTCACTTTTTTGATTTTGGCGCCACACCCAGCTCAACACTCAGGAATCACTCCTGGATGGGCTCAAGGGAACCATCAGGGATGCCTGGGATCGAACCTGGCTCAGCAGCACAAGGCAAGCTCTGTATTACGTGCAGTAATATCCCTTCGGCCCCGTGAATCTATGAAATTTTGGTGAAAACTATGGAACTGTCAGACACTGAGGAGGCAGGCAGAACAAAGTGTGTACCGGGGCTGGAGAGATAGCACAGTGTGTAGGGCCTTTGCCTTGCACATGGCCGACCT